TTCAGGACACAGCGAAGGTTTCAGTTTTACAGTGAACTGAAGTCACAGATCCCAAGTAATTTCAGGATTATGGAAATGAATTTGTGATGATGTCCCCTGCAAATGGCTTTGTGATAAGGTCAAAATTGCTTTCTTCCTTCCTCTGTTGCTTCTGAACTGCCTTTTTAAAGAGCAGAATTGGCTTCAAGTTTTAATCATCAGCAACGCTGCATGGCTGCAAATTATGATCAGTTCTAGAGGGTCTCTGCTGGGTGCAAATACCCCTTGCAGGAATCTCAATTCCATTCATCACTGAGCATTTCACAGGCAGAAATTCTCACTTGCAGAAAACTTACCTCCCTACAGATGGCCAGTACAAAATTGAATTCTTCCTGAAAAGGAGAGAACTTATGTCCAAAATTGTTTGAGTCTCTTGTTTGCCAAGCACAGAGGTGGATATCAATCCAGCTGCCCAGCAGATGCCATTTTCACTTGCAGCCCTCCTTTTCCCCAAGAAGCTAATTGACATTTTTATGGAGTTTTGATTAAAGTCTCAATAATACACTCGTTTTCAGAGATTTCTACTATTCTTTAATTACTTTACCTCATCTGGTTTGTTTTGGTTGGTTTTTTTTGGGTAGGTGGGGTTTTTTTTTTGGATTTTTTTTTTCTTTCAAGTTAGTGATTGACACATCCTAAGGTTGCAAAGGATGCAATGGAAATTTAAATGGTATGAAGGACTACAGTGAGAAGTGCTGAAATCTGTATTTAAGGATGTAGAGCAGGATCTGCTCTTCTGTTGTATGAAAACTCCAACTCTGTTTTTTACATATTCTTTTAAATAAAATATTTTTATTTTGATCTAAAATAACCAAGAAAAGCTACTTTTGAATTCCTTCCTAGCAGAAATACTTCCCCTGAAAAAATGTCAGGATTTTTTTCTGCAAAAATTGTTTTTTTTTTGTTTTTTTTTTTTTTTGTAAAAATCCGAGGGTGCAGTAACTTTTCACTACACTTCCTAAGTTGAACATACTGAGTTAAGACCAGTCTGTGCCATATGAAATTGATGCAACAGGATTGGCTTTTGTCTTAAAACATGGATATGTGTCGAGTTATTTTGTGAAATATAATTTTTTATAACTGATAGAAAATTTAATATTTACTGCTGGTGGATGTTCCTCAACTTCTCTTGTGAAGAAGTTGCATTCTAACTTTTTCTTTAACAAGTGAAAATAAACCTGAACTCATGTTGGTTTCTGTTCTCTGACATTAAAAATGCAGGATTTAAGACCAGGAGATGTATCTGGCAAACGTAATCTCTGGGAGAAGCAGTCAGTGGAGAAGCCAGCTGCTGCTTCTAAGGTAAGAACACTTCTGGGCAGAGTTTAGAGGATAATATTCTGTTACTAACCCACCTTTTTATCTATAAAAGAAAGCACAATGAGGTTCAGAAAGTAGTGTACCACTTTTATTTTCCTGTTTGTCAGAGCTGTGTTATGTGTGAACATCTGTTGATATTTTTTTTTCCCTGTTATAAATAGCAATTTTCTCCTATATGGGATTTTAATTATGTGTTGTTGCTTTTTCAAACAGGTATCAGCTACGGGGAAAAAATCAGAGACTAATGGTAAGTAATGCCATAATCATATATTGCACCTTTTTCTATAATTTAATATATATTATTACATATTTATAATATAATCATGCTATGCATTTAATGTTAACATGCACTGTTATATGCATATTTAATAAAATAATACATACACCATTTGATGATGTACATATAATAATACAATGCAAACATTGTAATACCTATAATTATACAGAAACATTGCTACATTTTTGAATAGGTGTACCTGTGTATTAAAATTCTGCAGCTGTTCACGTTGATGCAGAAACCCCTTCTTGCCTTTGCCTTTCCAAAACTCCATTAAAATATCATTGAAACATGAATGGTTGAGAAGCTGCTTTTGCTGGAGCTGTGCATTGGTGTCTTTTCAAGGCAAAAATAGTTTTGCTATTGTCATTTTGAAACCACTGGTTGGTGAAACACGACCTAGTTTTACAGAAAGAAATCAGCAAAATAGCCCTCTTAGCTTTTTATTTTTATTTTAACCTAACACACTCCAAATAAAGCAAATTAAACTAATTGTTTGGCTAAGAACCAGTGGGGAAGAATGGAAGTTCATTGATCAGTTTAAGAGCTTTAAGGATGCTTTTCAACATCACCAATTCTTTGCTGAGAGTGAAATGGTCAAATAGAGAAAAATTCTTGGTTTTCTACACTTGAATGTGTGCCCACACATTTTTAGTGGTTTTGTGTAAATCCAGATGTATGTTATGCCTGTGAACTTTCCTTTTTGGTTGAGAGCTGTGCAAAGCAGAATTGTTTTGCTCCTCTTGTCCTTTTTCAAACCCAAGTGTCAGGAGAGGGGTTTTTGGGCTGGCTCAGGGTTAGTGCACCATGCTCCCACGGAAGGTGCTCTCCACCCACAGCAGCAGTCCCAGCAGAGGGGTTTGGACACTGCTGAGCCTCTCCTCAGGGAATGAAATCCTGATTTTTGTCCTCCTGGGGACCCCCTCAGAGCACCCCCAGTAGAGGAGCAGAGCAGCACCCAGCTCGTGTGCTGCCTTCTTACGTGTTGACCTAGAGGGCTGTGCCTTTTCTGTTCTAGAGATGTGTTTGGGCTGCTTCAAGCCATATTTAATCTGTCTCTTTCTCAGCAGGTTTGAGACAATTTGAGAAAGAACCATAGAAGGCCTCTAAAGACGCTGGACCAATCAGTTTGGGGGAAAAAAAAATAAGGAAAAAGTGCTAAATTGTTCTTTTTATATTTATGTTTATTTACCAAAATGTCTTTTTTTTTTTTTTTTGCATTATCCCAGTTAAAACCATGTATATTAGCACTGTATTTAATAATCAGTCTAGACATTCATCAGAATAGTACTGCCTTTGCACAAGAGCCTTTATTCCTAAAGAAACCCATGCTGTGAAATATATAGACTCTCCTACTGAAAGTCATAAATATGTATCTGAACAGTGATTTCAGCTGGCATTAGAGGTCAACCCAAAACACATGTAAAGTGAAGTTGCTTGGGAAAGGTGTGCAGTAAACCTATAAAACCAATGGTTACTTTTGTAATACAGAAGTCTTTTTCTTTCTGCACTTTAGACTAAGGCATGGAAGAAATATCTTTAGTAGACAATGTAATATTTTCTGTAAGTTGCCCATGTCATGAGAAATACTGCATCAATAACGTGTTTTAATTTTTTTTTTTTTGTTTTATACTTTTTTTTAAGTATCAATTTTTCCATTCTAGTTTAAGTTAATACCTAAATTTGGATGATTATGTTAGCTGACAGCGGTACTGATATTTCTTTTTGTTGTTAGTGACTAGTAATTGAATGCAATCTAGAATATATATACACACATAGCTTTACAAAGTTTAGCCTAAAGGCACTACTAATGGTAGAATGCTTTAATATGTGCTAGAGTATTATATTTAGCAATAAACATACATAATTAGCCAATATCACAGCTTAAAAAAAATAAAGACAAAATCACACACTTTTCTATAGTAAGATTTCATAATTGTCATTAGAGGTATGGTGAGATAAGTATAAAAAAAAATTTAAATGTCAGTTGCCCAGTAATGGGTAATTAAAAAGAAAGTATAGTTTTTAAAAGAGGAAAAGGTAAGGGTATAGAGGGTCAAAAATAGGTCACTTGTATAAAACGTTGTAGTTTAATTTATATAAAACTACCATAATTAAAAAGAAAAAAATGTAAACAGAGTTGGAGCTTGTTTCAAATGACTGTACACTAAATCTTGCCATCCATCAGTGCCCTACACCAGGTCCACCAAAAATGAAGTAAATCTCTGTCTTTGCGATGCTTCTTTTTACCTCTCTCCCCTGAATATCTTATTTACAGATGTTTTCATTTGTATATAGTAAACACATGGCTTTGAGACGTCAGCTTGGTTTGGATTTACGTGCCCTGCAGTTTGGCATTTACATCCTACAGTGTATGGGTGGCATAAACTGAGCAACTCAAGCAGCCCCGAGCACGTTGTTGACAGCTTTGTTGAGCACCAGAACCCCCAGGACCTCCCTTATCACCACTTCCATGTCTTACAGCATCTGGCTTCTTCCTAAAGGTTCTATTCCAGCCCAAAGCTGGGCTCCCCTTCTTGGCTGAGACATCTTGTTTACATGCAGAGATGCTCAAAGTTGTCTGCAGGGGCTGAAGCTGTGCCTGACATTGTCTGTGGGTTGTCGTGGTTTTTGTTTGGGGGTTTTGTAAGCGCTCCTCTGAGTCTTTCAAGTACATCTGATAGCTGCAATAAAAACAATTTGTTCAAACAATGTATTCTGGAACTGCATCTGCAATAAATGGAATATTTCCAGCAGCAGCCCCGTTTGTTAATGAGCAGGAATGGAGCAGTTGTTGTAAGTGGGATAGGAATTGTGCTAAGTCCCTGAGAAATAAAGTGAAGAACCCCTAAGGATGTCCCTCCTGATTCCACAAACCCGCTTGGCTTTGGCCTAGCAAAATCTGTCTGAAAATATTTTAGAGCAATTAACTGTGAGGCTGTCCCAGGGTTTGCTTTGGTGATTTTGAAGAAGTTTTTCCCATGCTTTCCTTAGATAAAACCAGCCCGTGTCTGAGTGTAATATTCTGGGTGCTGCCAGCAGAGCTGCAAAAATCTAAGTTTATGTTTGAGACTCCCAGTCCCTATGTTCAGCTGGCTGGGTTTTACTGTGAGTTATCCCTGCCATGATGCTGCCTTCGACTTTCCCCACAAATCACACAGGAGTTCAGTTTCTAGGTGTTCAGAGGAAGTTACAGCTTTGTTCTTTAGGTCCTAGCTAGAGCTAAATCCTGTTTTGAAGAATAAGCCACAAAGTGATCTGTATGTCCTGTCCTTGTACAGAAATTATAGAAACTTATTTCTATCTGTATTAAAATTTGTAAAACCCCACTATATAAAACCATTTAAGGACTACACTGATCAACTTTTGTGGTTAATAAACTTTATTCATATAAAATTTTAAAGCATTAGAAACACACAATGAAAATCACAAATATATAAAAAGCAATGTAATTAGAGCATTCTTTGACAGTGACTCATGAGCCAGTATGACTGACTACACTGGAAGTAATATATAAAATACTCCATGTAAGTCCCTGTTTGGCTTTTTTTTTTTTTAAGCATGTCTCTAATTAAGAAAGACCAGATAAAAAGGAAAGGAAAAGACATTGTCTTTTTACTACTAATAAAAAACAGATTTCTGCTAAGCATCTTTACAAAAACCCCACCCTTATTGCTGCATTCTTATATCAGTTAGTGGTGTCCTTCTTAAAACAGGAAAAAATAACTGCTCATAATGATTATCAAGTACAGAAGAAGAAATTAAGATCGAGCTGCAGAGCACATCTAATCTGGTAGGAGTTAAATGGAGGTCCTGCGTTTAATACTCTGCTTTGAACGGGTAGTCCTTGTGGTTGACAGCTCTGAAAAGAGAAAGACCTTGTTATTCAAGAGAAAGAGAAAGGTCTTGTTATTCAAGCAGTGCAGAAAGTATCCTGAGCAGCATTTCCCTGTTGCAGCCCCCCTCCCCTACTGCCAGGGTACTCAGGTTCTGCAGCTGTCATTGAGCTGAACACAGGCCTGGAGAAAGGCCCTGGAACAGCAATATGCTGGAGGGAAACTCCAAATGAACCTCTCTCCTGAAGATCCAGGACATGCCTCATTCAAGTTTAAAGTTTTGGTTTGGGTCATGTGTGTTTTCAAGTTGGGGTGTGTGAAAATACAGACAGAAAGAGGACGAATGGATAGTAAGGATAATAAGGAACGCACTGGATCACTGGAACTGCCCTCCAGTTCCTGTTAAAGCTGAGGATGACATCCATCTCCTTTTCGGACAGTTCAAAGTCAAACACCTAGCAGGAAAAGAGGAAAAAAAAATGAGTAGTTATTTCCTAAGTGTGCTTCATGCACTTAGGACTTGAGGTAGGAATGCATTAAGCACAGTTAAGCAATCCTCTTCATTCTCAGGCAAATAAGAACCCTTGAAGTGATTAAGAAAGTTTTGTTTCTGAGGTGCTGTTCAGATCAAGATCTTAAATTTCTGGGCGGCTGAATCCCAACACCACTGCCCTTTGTGTTGTAACGCTCACAGAGATTTTAGGTGCTCAGGATGTGTCACAAATACTGGAACTGGAGGTAAATTTTCTGCTACGAGAGAGGGCTACTGGGTATCAGCTGCAAATAGCTGCCTCACAGTTGATCATCTGAAGAGTTCTTGCTAGGGCTTCATAGGAAAAATAACTCCAAACCCTCCCACCGTGGACTGAAAGCAATACAGGGTATTGTATAAGGTGCCACACCTTATGAGCAAACATCCAGCTGAACTTCACTGCCAAGGGGAGCCACAGCCTCTCAGTGAGACAAACTAACAGGTCTGGTGTTTGTTCTCAGCTTGTTCCTTTACACCCTAAGGACTTATTAACCTTTTCCCCAAGGGCAAGTCCAAACCTGGGGCTCCCTTTCTGCAGCAGCAGAGCTCAGCCCTGGTGTAACCATTTCTCTCCTAGCAGGCACAAAATGCTTCTCCCCAGATTTTCAAATCTCTGTACCCTGCTTCCAGTGCCTTAGGTGCTGCTTGGAAACACAGAGGGGCTGTGGGTGTGGGTGCCCATCCTGCACAAAACCGGGCAGCAGCATTTCCCAAGGGAACTTCACCTTCATGTTCTCCTCAACACGGTGTGGCTTGTCAGACTTGGGAATGACAATGATGCCTCTTTGGAGCAGAAAGCGGATCAGGACCTAGGAAAGAACAAGGAGGAGCATGAACACTGAGGTCCCAGGAAATCTATTCAAACACATTTTGTGGATTTTTTTTTTCTTTTATTCTACAACTTATTTTTCACTTTTGGGAAGATTACCACTTTGCACACAGGAGTTTGATATGCCAGAATTCGCTCGTGTATTTGACAGAAGACTGGCAAACCCTAATTTTTTTCAAGCCTATGTTGTTTCTACATTGTGGCTTTTGCAGGATTTGTTTTGTTTTTGTTGTAAGGAAAAAAAAAATGATGATGCTCTGGCTTGTATTACGTGAGTGCTCAGACTCCATGAGCATAATAACACTACAGATTATTTTGGGCTCACAGGTAAGTACTCAGGAAGGTTAAACTTTTGGAAGTCCATCAAAGGAAAAATGTATTTACAGAATTTAAAAGTTCCCACCCCGCAAAAACCCCAACTGTTGCATACAATGTTTTCATCCTGCTCTCCTGTCTTAAAATATGATTGTCTCTGATTGCACGTGAACATGTGGCTTTGTTTGGAGTGCAGGTTCTGCACACCCCAGGCAACCACTAATTTGTGTGACTAATGAAGTAATAGAGGAAAAAAAAATAATCAAGCAGCTTTCAATAATTCTTTGTGAGCACAAGCAGATTGGAGGCAATCAAATATGTCTCCAAATTACAGGACTCTTCTGAAAAATAACTTAGCTGGAAGAAGGAATAGCAATTTAGGAAGGTGAACACCTGAGGTAAGCATGTACCATTGCTGATCAATCCAACCCAAAACTTGGTACTCAAGACCTCCTTGAAAATAGCTGATAATTTTTATGAATGCTGTTAAGAACTTGGGCAGAATGAAGAGTCAAGTTCAGCCCCATTATAATGTATCTGTAGAGAAAGTAACATCTGCTAGGACTGGCCTGTAAGACATCTGAGGAGGAGGAATGGTTTGCTCTGGCAACTTACCTGGGCAGGGCTTTTATTATGTCTAGCTGCAATGTCTTTAATCTTGGGGTCATCCATCAGTGTGGGTTCCCCTGGCTTAGCCCTGTTAAAAAAAGAGATGGTGGTAGCAGAAAGGTGATGGCTTCCCTGTAGGAGCCGTACATCATGTGACATCATCTGCATCAAGACAACAGAACTTCTCATTTTAACTGTATCATTTACCACTAATAATAGTAATAAATAATCGTTCTAGTTCAACTGCAGTGTTTTGTGTGCAGAAAGGCTGCAATGCTCTCTTACCATGGGCGGTTAGGAGAGCCCAGGGGGCTGTATGCAGTCACAGCCAGCCCTTTGGATTTGCAGTACTTGACCAGCTTCTCCTGGGTCAGGTATGGATGACATTCCACCTGCAGGCACAGAAAGATGGCTGATAAAAGAGGCAGACTTCTCTGAGCTGCAGAGCATTACATTTTAAATCCTCTTGCGTCAAAGAAAATGTGAAGACTTGACTTCCAGTGTCATGATTCAGATCTATTTTATGAAAAAGTTGTAAATGTCACAGCAGTATCTAGAGGCCTAGCAGAGAACAGAGCTTTCTCATGCTACATATTACCCACAGAAAACAAAAAATAGATGAGAAGAGTGGAAGTGTTATCTGTGTGGAATGTGGGAAATGAGCCTTCCTGGACTACTGCAGGGCAGGATTGCATCATCAGAGGGGCAGCTCAGAATGCCTCAAGTTCATTTTCTGCTCTGATGCACCCACCCTCTCCTTGCCTCAAGGAGCCTCTTTCATTCCTGAAGGAGCTTGGGGAGAGGATCTGAGCTGACCTAAGGAAGCAAGCTGATGTTGCAAGTAGATGTTTGGGTAAGACATCCTGAAAGCAACAGGAGCTCCATGGGGATGCTGCTCAGCTGCCACAAGCCATGGCATGAGCACAGGGCTGTGTCTGTGCTCTTCACATGGCCCTGTGCACATACCCAGCTGTCTCTGAACACTGGAGCTTCTCTACCAGGCATGGTGACATGAAAAACATGTGCAGTAGTTAACTTTCACCTGAGCTAGTGTGGGGATTTCCCTGGATACTCCCCATCTGGAAGAGGTGGGCATTCAGCACCCTTGGCTGCGTGCAAAAAGTTGCATGTGGAAGAAAATCAGAAGGTCCCCAAGCTGCTGCTGTCCTGTGATTACATTCATGAGGTATGTGGTGAGAATTTGTTATGTAATTGTACTCTTCAACCTCCTTTCTATAATGAAACTGAGTGGTTTATTTTATGTTAAAAAACGAGTAAATGCTGTGCATCCCTGTATAGTCCCATGCTGGTGCAGAAACTCCCAGTGGGGATTTTGCTGAATATATTTAAGATTACTCTAAATATATATAATATATTATTTATATAGAACATCTATATTGTATGTTATATGAATTTAGGTATACTCTGGTTATATATATACACACACACATTCTAAATATATTTAGGAATGCTTCTTAAGTGGAAGGTTCCAGCCTCATGGAAAGGGAATCTAGACAATCCTTAAAGTATGGATTCCTCATCCCTTCTATGATTCCAATCTTCATCTATTCTATGATTCCAGACTGCAAGGTTAGCTGAGGAGGGGGAACAAAATTCTCACCTGGTTCATTACAGGCTTGTGCTTCAGTCCTGGCTTGTTCAAGATTCTTTCAATCTGCTCATGGTTAAAGTTGGACACACCAATGGCTTTTACCAGGCCAGCATCCACCAGCTCCTCCATGGCCTAATGAGTAAGGACAACCAAGGTGGGTGTGAGTTGGTGGTATTACTGTCAAACTACGTTATTTTATTTCTCTCAAGCTTGTGGCAAATGAACAAACAACTCAGGCTAGATTAGATTACATAAAAGTATCTCAGTTCATGAAAGAAAATAGAATCCTAACTGTATGAACACCCAGTAAATTAACAGCCACACCTAGATTAACCTGAAGGGTTGGTCCTACCATTGTGTGTATCCAAATATTTTAGAAACAGTAACTACAGTGCTGGTAGATTCCTTCCCTTTAGCCTTACTAAAACCAACCCCTTCTTGCTCCCCAAAACAAGAGATACAAACAGTCTGAAATACAATTTTGTGTGGCTGTCCTTCATACCCCAACATATCCCTCAATTTCATTTTGCACACAGATCTCTGCTCCATCTTTAGAGCTGATACTTTCTCTGAAGAGCAGCTATTGGCTTACCTCCCACGTGTCCAGAAAATCTGTGTCACTGGGAATACTGTGACCCTTGTCATCCAGAGGATGCAGCTCTTCACCAGCCTGTCAAATCAAGGCAGATAATACACAGATTTTTTTTTTTTAAATGTTGAATTTCCTACAGTGTGCCAGCACTTTGGACTGCATTTGCAGGCAGCAAGTTAGCAGGTTGTTTAAACATCTTGCATAACTAAAAATGATGCTTGTCCATTAGTATTCTCTTTTGGATGAGGGCCATATTTAGCAAAATCAGTCCTTGCATGCAAAGAGTGTGGGGATTAGTAATAATTATGTAACTTTAGCAGACCTGGAGAGGAGGGAACTGACACTCCACGGCCCCTTTATTCTAGTTTCTTATGTATTTTGTACAGATGTAGACTGGGGGAAGAAACACATTCCTTCTGTGCTATGCTTCATTTTTCACTGCTGGTTACTTCAGGCCAAGCCAACATCCCCAAAAACCTAGATGTCCATGCTGTAACCACCATCCTGTGCTGGTGCCCAGAAGACCCAGGGGTCTCACACCTACATCTCCTTCCAAAAGGCATGAAAAGCCAGACCCTTGTGCTAAAACACACCATTGCTTTAGTGACAAATTCTTGCTGCCACAGGGATGAAGAAGAGCCAAATGAACCCCATATCCCAGCTGTGTGATGAAGATGGCCACAGCAAAGCTGAGAGGATGCAGTGTGTTGTAAGGAGGAAAGGTGTGGAGAGCAGGACTACCTTGAATCCCATGGGGAAATGCATGAGGTAGAGGTCCAGGTAGTCCAGCTGGAGTGCAGCAAGGCTCTTCTTGAGTCCTACCTTAACCAGGGGCTTCTCATGGAACGTGTTCCACAGCTGTGGGAAGAGAACAAGCCCCACTGTCACTTCACAGCTCCCACAGGGCAGGCCAGGGGACAGAAGCTTCTCACTGGGAGGTCTGGGAGGAAAACTCCCCACTGAAGTCAGTACATGCTGAAGATGAGGAGGTAATATTTCACTGTTAGGGCAGGACAAACATACCACAAAGCCAACAGTCATGAAGGTGGAGTCAGGATTCCCACTTATGAGAAGGTATTCTCAGGTACAAATGTAACAATCTGGCAAGTGCATCTGACACAGCAAAGCTGTTAGTGTTACAATTTTATTTTTTTTAGCCTAAATTTTGACTATTGAGCCTTACTGAGCCATAGATACCTTCTTTCTGTTCCTTTTCACTGTCCACATGGAGAATGGTTGTCAATTTTACTTCATTTTTGAAATCAAAATTCAAGGTGTTTAAATAGAAGAACAAGTATTATTAAAAGAAACCATGTTCTTTAAAAAAAACAAAGTTTAATGTGGGAAATCTTAGTTAATCTCAAAGTTTTCTGGTTTTGCTGGTGAAAACCCCCAAATTTATTAGCTGCTTTTTGTTAAGGAGCACATCTGGGATAAGAGGATGAGATAAGGAATGAAGAAAACACCTATAAAATGCTTTGATTTCTGTTCCCTTTCAGGATTACTATTTGTACATGACAGAGTTTTCAAATATCTTGCTTAGCACTGATGAATCCAGACAACTCTCTTGCCTTTTTTTTTTTTTTTCCCCCCTTTATCTTGGGTATGTCCAATTGAACATCCGGTATAACTGACTTAATCGATGTCAGGAAATTATTAGATTAATAATAATTAATCTAATAGCTGTGATATGTTTCCTAAGTTGTCAGCAGTTCCTGATAAAGCCGAGTCCAAATTGCAAATACAGGATGGGACTTTTAAGACACAACAAGAAAACCACGAAGCGAATGTCAGAGAAGGGAGTAGGTCCCTATGTTACTTTACAGCTACAACAAGGGTTTCTCTGCAAGAAAAGCTAAATGCCCCAATAATCTTGCACCCTTGTACCTTAGTGACAATGAACAGGTCCTCCCGCTTCACAGCTCCCTCCTTGATCTTCTGCTGGACTGCGTTCCCTATTTCATTTTCATTCTGGTAGAAGTAGGCACAGTCGAAGTGGCGGTAGCCGGCATCGATGGCAAACTTCACCACCTCTTCCACCTTTCCCGGAGGAGCCTGAAAGCAAATAGAAGCCAACCATGAGCTCTGCCATGTCCCCCTGGCAGGTCACAGTGCTGTGACAGCTCCTCACAGTCCCCTTTTCCAGCTGCTCCTGGAGTTTGCTCATCACCTGCGTTTGATTGAAAGCCGGCGGAGTTTCCAGGCAGAGCGGCGTTTCTGCAGGCAACGCGCACGCAGCAGAAAGGAGTTTGTTTCTGCAAGACCTCTGACACTGCCAGCAGCGCAATCTCCACTGTCATTTCCCCTCTTTGCTCCCTGCGTTGCCCAAGCAGTTTCGCCACATCACCTTCCCCAAATCCTCCTCTCCAGGGCGGGGTACCCAGACCCCCCAGACCGCGACCCCATCCCGGCGCTGCGACCCGCTGCTCGCTCTTTTTGGTCGCTTTCTTTCGCTTCCCCTCTTTTATTCTGTGCCTCCTTCCACCTTCTCCAGCCCCTAATTTATATTTTTTTTTGCCTTTTCCCCCTTGCCTGTTGCTCCCGGCGCCCCCCCGCTCCTGGCATCCCGCCCGGTTACACAAGCGGCCGCCATCCTGCCCACGCAGGGCAGGGATCCTGCTATTAGAGGGGGCTCTTCCTTCTCTATTTCCTTGTTTTCAACTCTATTTCTCATCTCGGCATCTCCCCCCGGATCCCCACCGTCCCTGCCCGCCTTCCTCCTGCTCCGGTACCTGCCAGGTGCCCAGCCCCAGGGCGGGTATCTTCATCTTGTTGCTGAGCTCCACGCAGGGGATGGCCATGCTGCCGGTGTCCGTCGGTCCGTCCGTCGCTCGGAGCCCGCTGCCCGGGGCCGCTATAAGGCTGGGGGCCGGCCCGTCTCCTCCCCGCCCCGTCACACACACGGGATGCCCGTCAGCCGGGAGCGCTCGGTGCTGATCGAGCTGATCTTCGCTGGAAATGCCTCAGCAAAGCCAGAGCCGATGTATCGGCAGCCAGCCTGGGGCTTTGCACGCGTTCTGCTGTGCTGGGGCGGGATCGCCTCCCCTGGAAGCTCTCAAAAGGTGCATGGATGGATGCATGGATGTGGCACCCGGGGACGTGGGTTGGTGGCTGATGTGGTGGGGACCGGCTGGACTCGATGACTTTGGAGTCTTTTCCAACCCTAATTGCTCTATGGTACCGCAGCTGACAGAGCCTGTTGGCTGCCAGGAGAATTTCTGCCCGAGGCAATGGGTGCCCATTGGAGGATTTTCTCCAGTGGTGGCAAATGGACTGAATTTTTCATATTTTTCCTCAAAAATATTAGGCTCGCCTGTTGTTCAGAGAGGAATTCATTAAAAGGGAACGTGGCCTTACCTTTTATCTCATTTCTGCATTCCCTGTCTTTGTAGAGGGCTGGGCTCCCTGCTGGACCATCAGTGTGTGTGAAGGAATCTCTTCCCTGACTCCCAGTTAAAATTTCACCCAACTAAAATTTCACCCAGCACTGGTAGAGTGTCAGATGCTGCACAAGGGATTTGTGATTACAGCTTGTCAACATGGGGTGCTTTAGTCCATTCACCCCCTTGCTTTTTGCATAGGGTAAGAAGTTGTCATAGTTGAGACAGTCACAATACAAAGCAACACTCCATTTTCAGAAGGTTCAAACTTGTTTTTATTATAACATGCGTGCTTTTTATACATTCTTACAAAACTCAGAAGTTTACACTTTACTCACTGGTCACGAGAGACAAACAAAGTGATTATTGGAACAGGCAGTTGCAGCTTTCTCTTATTTCCTTCTTTCTTGGTTTCTGTGTCAACGAATTTGTTGGAAAATTCTTCCAGGGGTAAACATGGATCCTCTAATCAAACTTCTCTCTGGCTCACGGAAGTCGCTGTAAAACCTCTTCCACAAAAAGTGATATTTAAAGGTGGCAGGAGACTCTGTATGAGTGCAGTGGCTCAGAAATCAGGAGGCAGAGCCTGGAGGGACAGGGCTGCTTGGCTGGCAGCTCTCTGGAAGAAAAGATGCTTCACACCATGAAGGTGATGTAAGTTCAACACCCTACCTTAGGCATCTCACATGTCACAGACACTTTGTGTTTAAGTGTCACAGCAGGGATGCTTTGCTGCTTGAGTCTACTTTTTTCCTTTTCCTTATATTGCTATAAACTCCTACTTGCTCCCTGCTGATCCCTGACCACCAATTTAAATGCTGTGGAAGATCCACTGGTGTCGTCTTGTGACTTGTATGCTGTAAGTGAGAATTAAATATTTTATACTTAGATTTTAATGTTTGCCTACCAAAATATAGAACAACCATGAATTATTGAGCCACTAACTGTGTTGTTGGATGTGATTTGTTAAAATTTTTGTGCATTTTCATTATTTAAACTGCTTTTAAGGGACAGTATTTTTAGCTGGCTAGCAAATGCATGTTCTGAGTTTAAATATAAATAAAATCTCTTTCTGGTTTCCCTGGCCTGGTTTCTAAGCCATTGGCTTAACCAAGCTTTATTGTCATCTTTTGTTGCCTGGGATGTCATCACACATTCCAGAATGGAAAAAAAAAACCCAAACTGATATGAAGTAGAGACAGAGAAGCAGGGAATCAAATTTTTCAAAGTGGCTGATAATTCCAGTATGGTCAAACTAGAGCAGCAAGAGGAGGTGTCTTCTATTGAAAACAAACATGAAAAAACACACAGATCATACAACCCCACCCAAAACAAGAAAAAGGCAAAGCTACTGTGAGAGATGTGATGAATCTGATGGAAAAGAAAGATATTAAAAAAAAAAAAAGGAAAGAAAAGAGAAAAGTCTGTTGAGATTTTATAAATTTAGTAATGGTACATTGTTTTTAAGGCCAGAAAGGACCACACTATTCTTCTTACACTAATCTCCAATTGCATTGAAAAGATTTTATACTAAACCTATGTCATATCCATATTACTTAATTTTTTATTAAAGGCACTTGGGTGCTACAGCAATAGGAACTGATTAATATTAGGTACAGATTAGCCTAGGAAATGCTGAGATCGAGCTATTAATTGCTATTTATTGCTTTAATTGCAATAAATCTTGGTGTGGAAGGTATAAACCCCACATAATTGCCTTTTTTTTTTTTTTACCCATTTGTTTAACAGAGGCATCAACAATTTTCCTCCCTATAAATCTTTATTTGAAGACATTAATGGTTTTGGAGTGAACTTCCTGCAGGCCAGGGAGGAGCAGGGAGAGATTTTGGCAACTCAGCCGCAGCACGGGCTGGCAGAGGAGAATTGCTGGAAAGACTCTGTTACGTGTACAGGCTTTTCTGTTCCAGCATTTTTGTTCTGATTTCTTTATCTGCATCGAGGAAGGCAACTCATCATTCAAAGCCACATAAAACCTGATTTTATGAGGGTTTAAAAGGCTTTAATTATTTTCCAACTGCTATTATTTGCTGGATGCAGTATGGGTGGTGGCTGGGACCCGTTCACCAGAACTTTTGAGCTGAGTCACGGTGATTTCACTTTCGGCAGAGCCTGGCATCTCCCTGGGGCACCCTGCCACGATCTTTAATGAGTCAGAGCCTGCAGGTTCAGGTGGTGACTTGTCCACAACCTTGTTAATCATGCCCATGGGTCGCTACCACCTGACTGGAAATGTACTAGTGTCGGATTCAGAGATGTCCCTCCTTGGGAGTGATTTTTCTAGAGAGCAGTGGTGCTCATTCGTGATTCTGCTGAAAGGCAAAAACTGCAAATCTCTCATGTGGGCAGTCCAATGGGAGTGTTTTGTCTAGACTGAATCATAGAAAGATTGGAAAAAATCTCCAAGACCATCAGGTCCAGCTGTTACAGATGAAAGTTTTTAGGCAGAAAGTCCCAACCTGGCTGATAGGGTTCCCTGGGGAAACAATTTGCATTATTTTCCTGAACTAATGCTAAGGAGCCTGTCACAAGTGTGTACTCCTGCATAGCTGACAAAACATGGTAATGTAACAAAAAGTGGTAATGTATTCATCGCAACAATACTGAAACAACAAATGTGATTTTTTTTTAACTGTTAAGAAGGTAAGCATTGCTATTTACATTTCAGTAAAAATGTGGTTTTTTTTTTTTCCCCCTGTGAGTCTAAAGGAAGCATACTAGGCATCTTTTCAGGATATGCAGTGGGTGAAGGTTGAGACAGCACAGAGCCACAGAATGCTGAAATGGGAAGGGACCTCTAGAACTCATCTTGAACCTCTTCCCTGCTCAAGCAGGGAAATCAGGCTGCTCAGAGTTGTGTCCAGATGGAGACACCACAACATCTCTGGGCAAACTGTGCCAATGCTCAGTCACCTTTGGAGTGGACAAGTGTTTTGTAATGGTAGAGGGACCTTCCTCTGTCTCACTTTGTACCCATTGACTCTCGTCCTGGCTCTGGGCAGCACTGAAAAGAGCCTGGCTCTGTCCTCTTTGCTCCTTCCCTTCAGGTGTTTATATTCATTGACAAGACCTCCCCTTGAACTTTCTGCTCTCCAGGCTAAGGATCCTCAGCTCTCTCAGTCTCTCCTAAAAGGAGGGAGGAGTTAATCCCTTAATTAATTAATCAAGTGCTTTGACTGAGTCACTTCCCTGTCATGCCCCGGGCAGCCCCCCCAGGGCACCCAGCCCTGTGCCCCCCCAAACTGCAGCCTGTGGGTGTGGGCAGGGTGAAAGTGGCACTGCTGTGCAAGGTGTAGCTGGCACTGTGCAGGAGATGACCATTTTGCAGGGGACCATCCTACAAGGATGCCTTTGGCACCCAAATTTTGCCCTTTTGTGCTATACCCTATCACAGTCTTCAGTGTGTTTGTGAATGCTCTCAGCCTGTCTCTAAAAAAAACTAAACAAGCCCCAGTGACTTAGAGCAGGAGAGTTCTGCTCTCACTGGGACAATTCTATCAGTCTTATTTGCACAACATCATGCTCATGGATCTGACAATGTCAGTAGGAAGTGGTACATCAGCAGTGAAGAAAGTTTTTGTGTGAGGAACATTTGCAGAATGCTTTGATTGGTTCCCCCCTTGGTGAGTGCAATGGACAGTACCCAAATTTATCAGCAAGCTGTGGACTTTCAGTACTTACTGAGATCATCTCCCTGCAACAGCTGCCTTTGGAGTGGTTGCAAGACACCAATTTTAGTAACACTGAAGTGAAATTTTTCACCAAAACTTTGAGAGCAGGGTTAGAAATTCCTTGGAAAGAATCACCAGGGCTGTGTCCACCGAATCCCGAGCTATGTCCTGTTTCTCCAGTATGGTGGTGCACTTGCTCCCCTCTCCCTGGGGTTGCTCTACAACCTTTGGAATTCCTGTGAGGTCCTAAGTGAGGCCTTTTGAGCTCTCCTGGACCACAGTGGG